GGGTGGGCCGGGGTGGGGGTTGGTGTTAGTAGGTGTGTGGTTGGTAGGAAACTAGGGACGGGGAATAGGGTAGGGAAAGTTGATAGGGAAAATATTTTCCTCCAATTGAAGGAAATGAGTTAATGAGAAAAATATTTTCCAAAACATTTGAACCAACCAAACATGAGAAAATTGAAAAATATTTTTCGGTAAATGTTTTCCTTCATACCAAACACACCCTAAATGTTGTCGAGTTTTCTAGCCTTTATAACAATTTTAATTTAAAGTCTCAACTATTACAATTCTACCCGATATAAAATAACGTGTTTGGAAAAAATAATTAAATAGTAAAGGGTATAATAGTCGATTAATATTTCAGGGATATTTTTGACGTTCAATATTTAGCATGAAATATTCATATTTTTATAATAATTAGTCTTAGGGTACGCACCTTGCGCGTGTACCCTGTCTCAATGAATACAAAATTTTAAAAATATTACATAAATATTATTATTAAATAATATTTTTAAGTTTATAAATAAATATTAAAAGTACAAGTTTTTAATAATAAATATTAATCATTGTATACGGGTAAAACCGGAGGTAAGGAGCACCCCGATTTTCCGGTGGGGTGAACGAAGAGAGGACATAACTACGCGTAGTCAAGAGCAAAGCCCAGAGCCGCCCGTATCAGAGCACGAACAAAACACCTGCCCCTGGAGCCATCGAGGTCATGCCCTAGAACCTGATTCGAATAATGTGACCTTGGAAAGCATTGTCAAACGACCGTACACGATCAACAAAGGGCCGTGATATTCGTGTCCAACCGAATGTTACAACGTGAATCTCAGCCCATATCAGCGGTAGATCAGTGATTAGCGAGAAGAAAGATTTTTACCTTTTCTAGAATTGTACTTAGGGAAAAATTCCCCTACTATATAAAGGGGAAGCAGACTATTCATGTGCATACCAAGAAAATATACATCTATTTTTCTGGTTATTTGAAAATTCTTGTTTTGGTTCATAAATTCATCGTAAGCACTGGTCCGGAACCGAAGGCGAGCTTCTTGTTAAGCCTTTAACCGAGCCCGAGTTTAGTAGCATCATTGGTTTGGTTATTTATTCTATCTTTTAATTCTTATCTAACGTCATTAATCACTTGTATCGAATTAATCTACATATTCTTAAAACCACGTATAAATTCAATTGTTATCCATTTTTAAGGATAAACAATCATATTTAACTAGATTAATATTAATAAAGAAAAAAACTATAATTAAATAAATAGTGTCGCTTTGATATTGTGATGAAGCCCTATCACCATGTCACCCTTTCTTGTGAAAGTTTTTTTCACGATTATTTATTCTATATTATTATTTATTTATTAATTAATATGTGAAAGTAGAATATTCAAATGAGATCTTAATAATCTATTGCACATTTATTAGAAAATCTAGTAAGGCTAAGTTTCCTTTTTAAAAGGGGCTAAGATAAATTTTAAAGATTTGCCACTTTATTCTAGGAAATTTTACACCCTATAGAAAAGCTTAGTACCCTATTTATTTTAAATAAATACCATTTTAAAATATTACATCCTATAGATACCTTTTTTCCCTTTATAGCAAAATATCTAATTATAGTTACATCCTACATTTAAGGCACCATATATGCTAAATAATATTTTTCTCTCTCCTTTTTAGTCTTGTCTCTCACATAATCACTGTATATTTGCTCTAACCACATTTTCTCTCTCTTCTTGCATACACTTTACTCTCTTCTCCCACAAACCAACGATTCATAACTCTTCTCCCACCCAAATTTTCTAGGTCTCCGCCATTATCACTCCCCATTTCGCATCTCTCTAAAATCATTGTTTTAGAGCCGATACAAGTGCTCCTGGTAGGTTTAATTCTTAGATTTTGATATCATTATTTTGTTTCTCTAATTTTGATACAGATTTTACTTTGTTTCTGAAACAATAACCATTGGTATTGTTTACTCACCAGGAAGCTTTGGTTGTTCTCTCCAATGTCGGATTCAACAATACACAAGATGATAATCAGAGGTATACCCACCAAAATTCTCAATCTTGATGAGCCCTCTTTATCGTTGCAAATAACTTAAGCGGAATCAGATTTTGCAGGTTTATCAGCAACTACAGTTTCAGAGAGAAGAACTAAACTACACAATGACAAATCGAAAGAAGTCCAAGTTGAGAAATCTTCAAAAGAAACAAAAAATCTAGTTGCTTCAAAGAGGAAAAAACCTATGAATGATTCTTCATATGTCAATCTTAAGGAAGTTGATGCAAAAAAAATATCAGATACATGACACGAAAAGGTAATTGATATTGTATCAATATGCATTCAAAGAAACTTATATGTATTCATAATTATTCAAGTTATTTTATATGTATGATGTTGTATTCGTATGTATCTGGTTGTATTCATAAGTATTAAAACAATCCAGAACTCATTTACACATTCACATTTGTCAATAGCCGAGTTGTGCTTACTTGAATATTGTATGTTGTATTTAAATCTATTTAGATGTATTCAAATTCACATATTTGTACTATTTGGTATTAATGTATTCAGTTGTATTTATACGTATGTATATGTATTCTGATGTATTTTTATAGTTGTATTTTTAAGGATTTTCAAGGTTCCCATCACTGTTGTATTATTCAGCTATATTCTATTGTACTATTCAGCTGTATTCTGCTGTATTTTTCTTGCTTTCAGCTGTATTCAATTGTTCTCAACTGTATTATTCATATGTATTTCTCTGTATTCAGCTATAGTCAGTTGAATTCAACTGTGGTGAATACAACTATAGTCAGCTGTATTCAACTGCTTTATTCACCTTTATTCAGCTGTAGACAGTCATATTTAACTATTTTAATCACCTGTAGTTAGTTGTATTATTCAATAGTATTCAACTGTATTCAACTTTATTCAATTGTTTTAATCAGATGTAGTCACTTGTATTCAACTATTTTATTCAGCTGTATTCAGCTGTAGTCAGTTGTAGTCAACTGTTTTATTCACCTATAGACAGTTGTATTCAACTATATTATTCACATGTATTTCTCTATATGATCCCTTTGAAGTTTTTCTCATATCAGATCTGTCTCAACAGAAAGCTGGGAGCATGTAAGTATTCAATCATCATTCTTGTATGTTATATACAAATCTAATTGTATGAATTAGATTTAATTGTTTCAATCAATTATTTTTTAGGGATTGTGGGGTGCATGTTGCAGTATACGCGGAGTTTCTGAGCACTCTTGGTGAGATTCCACAAATAACATTTGATTCCAATCTACTCCGTCAAAGATATGGTGCTCTCCTCTAGGACTATGCTATGCGGAAGATAGACGCTGATGTCATAAGCGAGAATGAAGCACCTTCAAAGATTGCTAGCCAAATCACGGAGTCAGATTCAAAGATGCAGATAGTGTTAGAGTAGCTTTAGGTTAATGTAGTTTTGGAATGTAGTTTGAAGAAAAATACTGTTTTGAGTATGAATTTTGGTGAAGATGGTATTTAATTTGAAAAACTTATCACTTTATCAACAGTGTTCGTGTATGACAATTGCAGCTTTTCAATCGCTCTTTCACTGGTGTTCATAAGTATTCATTCTTATTCTTCAGTTTGTATTCATATTTATCTTACAGGATTCAAGTATGTATTAATACCAAGTAACTTTGCTTGAACAGGTTTTAGGTATTGAACATGTAAATATCAAAGTCAGAAACTTTATGTATTCTGATGGTAGGTTATATTAAAGAATTCAGATGTATTTTTCTAAATTCAGGTATATTCAGTTGTATTTAACTGTATTATTCAGCTGCATTCAGTTGTATTCAGCAACATTATTTATATGTATCTTTCAAGTTCAGTTAATACATATTAAAAAAATACAAATTCAGATATATTAAACAGGTTATACGTATTCAGTTGTATTCAGCTGTAGTCAGTTGTATTCAACTATTTTATTCAGCAGTAGTTAGTTGTATTCAAGTGTATTATTCAGTTGTATTCATTTGTATTTTGTTATATTCATCTACATTCAGTTCTACTCAACTGTATTATTCATAAAAATACTTCAGCTATATTCAATTGTATTTTTAGTATTCATCTATACTCAGTTCTACTTAACTGTATAGTTCATATGTATTTCTCTGTATTCAGTTGTCATTTCTATGTATTCACTATACTGAATTTAATATGTATCTTTCAAATTCAGTTAATACTTGTAAAAGAATATAAATTCAGATGTATTAAACAGGTTATTGTCTAGTTAGAGAATATAAATTCAGACTTAATAAAATTGTTATATTACAGCTGAGTATATAGATATATTCCGATGAATTCTGACTAGTTATGTATATAACTCAGGCACTGTCTATAATAAACTGTTAAAGTATATGTGGAAAAGGTTATATTCGATTGTATCCAACACATTAAGGCAACTATATGTATTCAGAATCTATTCACGAAAGTCATTTTAGAATATATTTCTTCACAATGAGAATTTATTACTTGACAATGTCATCATAAGTATTGACAAATCGTTGAAACACCAATACATGTCAAAGTGTTAACTATTTATTACGTGGAGCATTTTTACACGTTCGCTTGTTATATGGTCCCTGCCCACATATGCTACATGAATGTTGATTTTTCGGCTGCAACAATTCACTTAGAGTTTTATCGCGCTTCTTCTTTGGCCTTCCAGGAGGTATTTTCCATTTGTATGGTAGTACAACCTCTTCTGCAACATGTTCTGGTATATTCCAGTCATTTCTGTCTGATAGCGGGTACATTGGCACATCGTATGTCATTACAATTGTATTTGGTTTGTAATAGTTAGAGAAATATTCTTCTCGCATTAGAAACTTGCTTTTCAATACAATCCAAGCATGTGGGCATGACAATTCATCAACTTGGAACCTCCCACAAACACATTTTTTCTCTAACAGGCAGACTGTGAAATGCCTCCCACCATCGTTAACCGTATGTAAGTATTCAGTTGATGGTACCATCTACATTTAAAAATAGAAATACAAGTTTTGAGCACATATAACTGAATTACCAAATGTATAATGCTGAATTACTAACTTACATACAACTGAACTATTAGCATATAGATGAATACATCATATATTTAGACCAGCAGAATATTAACTCTAATTAGTGCAGAACTTATCAAAAGTCTGTTGTACTTTATGCTATATGAGGCTAACAAAAACATTAGAAGGATACGTCATGACAATACATATTAAAATTACATATAATACAGCTTTGTTAGTTGTATTCTGATGTATACGAATAGTTTTTGCAGCATGTTTTTAATTATATTCAGTTGTATTCATATCAGATCTTCGGAAAAATATGACTTGTATGTGTTTGAATTTAGTTGTATTCATATGTATTAATGGTAATTGTATTTAAAAAATGATTGTATTCAGTTGTATTCATGCTCTGGCTATGATGGCTTGAAAGGTCTACCATACTCTTACAACTAGAAGAAAGAGAAGATCCGCATGATCCTGTTCTGACTCTTTCTGGAGTACTTGATCGGGAAGTTGGGCGGCGCCCTTGCTCTTCTTCCTTCCTTGCTAAGGCTGCCTTAAGACTGGCAATCTGTTAAAGGGGAAAAACTAAAACTTAAAATCCAAATGCAATTCTTCTGGGCTACATCTTTTGAAGAAAAGAATTGTCTTTTTGTTATCTACATTGTAGAAGGGAAAAGCAGTTCATGCCTATAAGTTCACTGATAAACAAAAAATATGGCAATTTTGAAACCTGTTCTTTTAGTTCCTTGACGTTAGAACTCTCCTTGTTGACCCGTGCAGTACCAAGCTCAACTGTAGAAACCCGTGTTGTAACAAGCTCTACTGTAAAAATATGGCAGATTTTGTTCGTTGAGTTAAATTAGGAGAATATCATGTGATTTGATTTCCTTCCGTTTTTAACTAGTTTAACCTTCCACATTTTGCGCAAATACGTTACCGTATTCACATTAATGCCTCTTGAATACAGTTAAATACATATCAAACTTAGCTGGAATTCCTTTTTTAACGCCTATATTTTCTATTGTATTAATGAATACAACAGCTTAAATATATAAAATACATTGTATAAAAACATAAAAGGTATCTATATCACGTAATATAGCAAAAGATATCTATAAATGACTAAATAGACCTAAAAGATGGTGCTTTATGAAAAATTCTCTGTATTCTATCAATTTAGTTGTTTGTATGATTTGTACAAATTACGTTTAAAATGAAGTAAGTTACATTCTAGTGACTTTAAAGACGCTGGTTACAAGAAACTCCCCTTTCTCACTAAAAAAAACCAAACCTTTCACATCCCCAAAACATTTTTGTTGCGGAAAACCATAGCTCAACACTCCGGCATAGGAAAAATTCCTCCCAAACCACCAGACATTAATTCACCACAGCCATTAAATAATCCTGAAATCACCTCCTTCAAAGATATGCTATTGACCAATGAACTAGAAAGAAGCATTTCAATAACAGCCCTCCCCCCACCTAGCCCCAATGGATGTTGTTGCCAATGAAGAAGAAGATGAATGGGTACCGACCCCCAGGAAAAAGAATATAAAGTCCTTATAACTGAGAGGATAAACAACGTATTTATTACCCATGGCGATTCTTGGTAATAATTAAACTACAAGAAAAGAGACTGCTTCACCAAATCCTAATACGTAAATTGACAGACCTTTGGAAACCAACATAGGCCTTTTCGCTAATCTTGGTGAAGACTACTACATAGTGAGATTCAATAAAGAGGAAAACATGGAAAATGTACTACAAAATGGACCTTGGTTCATCTTTAAACACTTTCTATCAATGCAACGTTGGGAACCAAATTTGTTTCTTCGACTGCTAAACAAATATTCATAGCTATTTGGATACGCCTACCCCATCTCCCCACAGAGTTCTATGATAGGGAAATCCTAAAAAAAGTGGGCAACACAATTGGAATATTACTCAAATTCGACGCTTGTACATATGCTGCTCTACGAGGACGATATGCCAGACTCTGTGCAGAACTACCTCTAAACAAATCAGTGAAACTATTTGTGTTGATAGGTTCCCACAAGCAACAAATGCTATATCACGACGACAAGCTTCTTTGCAAAAACTGTGGCCATCTAGGCCACTCAACAGGGCAATGCACCAACACGCGATAGCAATCAACCAATCAAGCAAAAAAGAAATGGGTGACAAGGAACTGGGTGGCCTGATACAGGATCGACCATCTAACGAAAATTGGGAATGGAAAACTGTTACATTCCACAAAGGGAATAAAAAGACATCAACCAATGAGAACTTAGGAGCACCACAAGCAGCAAGTATTGATGTCAACATTTTTGATGCCATTACAGGTAAGTTTCTTAGTTCTCAAAAACTAAACTAGAAAACTCGTCCAAAACATCACTCATTGGCCGAAAATAGAATAGGAAAAACACCTATCTCTGGGGAATACTCCACTGACAGAAACAATATCCAAACAAAAAACTACTTTTCGGCTCTAATGGAACATGACATGGTTTTGGAAAATACCACTAACCAGCCGACTAGAAAAATAAAGAAAAATTATTTTAGAACCAATGAGCCTCACAAAAATGACATCTCAAAGGATCATGTGTCCCTCACTAATGGTAACTCCTCTAATTACATGCACTATGACAACAATGTATTAAGCGATAGTAATTAAAAAGTTCACCCCCATGATAATAATCATGACACTAACCCAAATCACTCAACTAATTTTTATAATTACTTCTTAAATGCCACTAATGACATAAAAACCCTGTCATACCAACAACTTTCTATTAACCAAATGGTCAATGCAAAGGAACACGTACCCCAAAACCAATCTGCATCCATCCTCAATAACTCCCCTATGCTATTCCTCTCAAATGACATGCAAATAGAACCCACAATCATTGAGGAAGATCCAGTGAATATTCGGGGAACCAATAGTGTTCTACTACCACCTATAAAAACATCCTCTACAATAAACAATCACAAGAATCCCAATCTCCAACAGAAGACGCTAACGTCTTATCCAAATTCTAAGACAACATCGAGCACAAACCATGGCAAACCAAACACCCCTACAGTCCCAAAACATGAACACTCCTATAATATTTGTTCAACCTCCACTGACGGAGAATCATCAACCTCTATCTTGGGTGGAATTGGGATTGATGGGTCATGCTATCTCCTTCAACATCATGCTTAATGGAAGAGAGACATTGATTGTGTTGCAAAACACCCACTATATCGCTCAATTAATCTCGGAGGGCATTCGTATGACGATGAACAACTACATGAACCATATTTAGGTGAACAACGTTCTCCAACCCATAGCACCGAACCTGACTCCCAATGTTACTCTAATGATGATGGGAGAGTGGAGTCTTCCACTATGCTTTGTCCCGATCCAAAACCTAAACCTAGTGATAACTCCCATTCTTCACTCCAGAGATTGTAACAAACATCAACCCAATATGCACACCCTGGGGTGAACATGCAAACCATACACTGACTCACAATTCTCAACATGCACCACTAATGGCTCATCAGGGTCCACCACAGTCACATGCACACACAAGTACACCACACCAGGAGAAAATGATGGAGGAGGCAGTGGAACCCATCAACTTAATACCAGAATTGATAATCGAAGATTCAAATCTCGATGAGGTAAATGTCTTTCTCTTCATGGAGATACAAGAACAAAGGAAAATTCTTAATTGTCCGATGACACTTTACAAGTGCACAATAGACATAAGACCACCAACAGACCCAACAGTAGGGCAACATGCAATGATCCTAGTTCCTTTTTAGCGAAGGAACCCAGTGTATGAACTAAGAGTGTTGGAGAACGAGAATCTACGCAACTGGAACATCAACATGAATAGGGCTATCTTTTTTATCATATGAAACATTTATGGTGGAAACAATGAAAACTTCAGATTAAAGTTTAGGTAAATAGGCGACACCCATCTCCCTTGCATGGTCACCCTCTTGGAAACTAGAATGGATAACCACATGCCCCTTCTAAACTTGTATGGTTTTTCTGACATGACTGAAATTCTAGCTGAAGGCCAATCAGGTGGTATGGTCATTCTCTGGGATCACACTCTTGTCAATGTTCATAGCTTTGTCCGTAGAAGCCAAGAAATTAGTGCTACCATTGAAGTAATTTCTACTCACAAATCTTGGTTATTCAACTCCATTTATGCTAGCACTAATATTAACTGTAGAAATCAGCTCTAGAATAACTTAGTTGAAATGCATGCTAACTATAAAGGCCCTTGCCTTGTAGGCGGGGATTTTAATGATATATTATCTTCAAATGAAAAATTAGGTGGTAACCGTGTCAATAAAATCGTGCTAAGTACCTTTGGGCCTGTATAAATAAATATAATCTTATTGATCTAGGCTTTAAGGGGTGCAAATTTACTTAGTCGAATCGTAGGAGGAAAAACAAGGGCCTTATTATGGAAAGATTAGACAAACTTTTTGCCAATAGAGATTGGATCAATTGCTTTCCAAATGCAACAGTGACTCATCTACCAAAGATGCACTCTGATCACAACCCATTACTCCTTTAAATAATCCCTAAAGCTAACATTGCCCTTCAGAAACCCTTTAGACTAGAAACTTTTGGTGTAGACATCGAGATTTCAGTAACTTAGTAAAGGATATTTGGAAAGGGTCTAACTACCACCAAGCGTCCAACTCCTTTCTAGGAAACGTTAGAACCTAGAAGAACAAAAGTCTTTGGAGACATCTTTAAAAAGAAAAGAAAAATCCTAGCTAGGCTCAAAGGAATTCAAAAATCCAAACAATACCCTAATAGTGACTTCCTACAACACTTGGAACTATCCTTACAACCTGAATATAACAACTACCTCAAAATAGAAGATGACTACTAAAAACATAGAGCTAGAGTCTCTTGGATTCAAGACGGGGATGCAAACACTAAATTCTTCCACATCATGGCTTTTAATAAAAAATGAAAAAATAAAATCACGTACATAAAAAATGAGGCGGAGGACATGATTAATGACCCTTTGGTAATTCTTCAACATACCTACCAATATTTTCTCAATGTATTCACAATCTTTCACCAAAATACTGATAGGCAAAGTATTCACCAAGACCCCCACAAGCTTCACAAAAATAGACCTCACATCCTTGGACAAACCTTTACTGCCGTTTGAGGTAGTAAATGCCATATTCTCTTTTAAACCTTTTAAAGCACCAGGGCCCGATGGTATACACCCTTTTTTCTATAAAAACATTGGAATATCGCTGGCCCATGTATTATCAATTTTTGTTTCCAAGTGTTCCACACTAGCACACTACCAATAGATATTAATAATACCTACATTTGCCTTGTACCAAAAATCCATAATGCTAATAACCTAAAAACTTTTCGTTTAATAGGCCTTTTGATCACGCCCAACTATACCTTATAAAAAGGACTAAGCCGACGTTACAAATATAATCTGAGTATTTAGCCAGAGTCAAACCCACAAGGAATTAACCTATCAATTACTCTTGTTAGACTCACTAAATTCTACGGAATCAATTTCTCAAGCGTTTTGAATAACAATTGAGGATATTTCTACTAACTATAACTGACTGCAATTAAGTAACTAAAGACTAACTATGATTAAGTTGTAAACAATTAAGAGAAGGGTCTAAGGTTGTGATTTTCCCTATTGATGGAATCCCTTCCTGTTATGTCTCATACAAATTTGCCTAAACATCTCTATCGATCATGAACACTCTTATTACTGTAAATCTCTCCCGAGTAATTATGACAATTTACTAGACGCACTCTCCCGAGTTATGCTAGCTGGACTTGATTACAGCTCACTGTAGATCACACCCAAGGCTTCGTTATCCCTAATCCCGTCTTTAAACCCTCGGTTATTGATCCCTCATATACTTTGGGAGTGGTGATGTTTCACAATTACCTAAATATGCACTCTCTCCCGAGTAATACATACTAAATAGGCACAACTAATTGAGGATCCTATCAATTAACTACTACAAGAACGTAATTGAACAAATAGAGATTAAACCGGGCAAACTATATTAATATAACAAGAAGTTCATCTTCAACAGGTTCCATCAAAACTCTAGACTAAGGAATTAGCTACTCATAGCAAAGCAAGATAAAACTACAAAAGTATTCATAATGTGCAATTGAGATAACAAAGAGAAGATTGAAAAACTCTAATGGTTGATGGCTCTTCTCACACTTGTTCTTGCCTCCAAATCAGTCTAAAAACAAGCTTCACCTTTGCTTGGGCGAGTTTGTTGAGTTTATAAAGGGTTAGGATAAGTTTTTCCCGATTTATACTTTAGTCCCAAAATTTCTAGGTAGTTACAAAGTCGACCGCGGCCGCGGCAGAACGCGGCACAACCGCGGTGAAACGCAACTATTCTGCCTCACTTTCTTGGCCTATCGCGGTCCAGCTGCGGTCGACCGCGGTCGCGGTGGAATCATGCCCAGTTCTCCTTTGCCTCTTCCTTGAGTTTGGGTTCTTCTTGATTGGCCTTTTATCCACATTATTGATTCCAAAACACTCCATAGTCTCTTCCTAACTTGAAC